ATTGGTAAAAGAGTAATCAAAGAGTTTTAAATGAGTTGTAAGCAACAAAAGCAAATGGTCGATATTCAGGCCTTCAAAGCCAAATTAATGGCTTTCAATAAAGAATGCAAGGACAAGACTAAAGAAGAAGCAGCCTTGAAAGCATTGAGAGACAAATTGGCAGTGTTCGAGTTGGAACAAAGTATTGGCCGAAAAGTTAACAAAGTGGATTGTTTAGAAGAAGAAGTGCCTACAAGAGAATTGGACGATGAAGTGATGAGGATCGCCAAGCCTGGATACGCTCAAACACAAAACCCTCTGATTAAAGTGAATATTGGCAATGAAGGAGAAGATCGCCCAATATTCATCAGCCAAATGCTCGATCAAGAGGTTAGTGATAAATTAATCACTTTATTAAAGGAATATAAAGATTGTTTTTCTTGGAAATATGAATATATGCCTGGTTTAGATAGAGATTTGGTGGAACATAGGTTGCCAACCAAGCTAAATTTTAAGCCTCATAAGCAACCTCTTAGGCGTTTTGCTCCTAATGTACTTCCTGAGATCAAGAAAGAAATGGAGCGATTATTAAAGGCAGGCTTTATTAGAACAGCCAGATATGTGAATTAGTTGTCCAATATCGTACCAGTGCTAAAAAAGAATGATAAATTAAAGATGTGCATAGACTTTAGGAATTTAAACATAGCCACACCCAAAGATGAATATCCAATGCCCACAGTAGACTCTCTAGTAGACTCAATTGCCGGACACGTAATGTATTCCTTCATGGATGGGTATTCAGGATACAATCAAATTTATATAGCTGAGAAAGATATACACAAAACTGCCTTTTGATGCCCAGGGTCTCTAGGATGTTTTGAATGGGTAGTTATGCCTTTCGACCTGAAAAATAAAGGAGCAACTTATCAAAGGGCGATAAACCTGATTTTTCATGATATGATAGGCTAGTTTGTTGAAGAATTAAGATGTTCATTTGAGCGAATGAAGCAATATAAACTAAAATTAAATCCCTTGAAATGTGCATTTGGTGTTAATGCAGGAAACTTCCTTGGTTGCTTAGTACACAAAATGGGAATTGAACTTGATAAAAATAAAGCAAAGGTCATTTTAGAGGCCAAATCACCTAGCAACAAAAAAGAATTGCAAAGGTTTTTAGGCCAAGTAAACTTTTTAAGACGCTTTATTTCTAACTGTGCAGGGTGAACTAAAGCTTTTTCACCGCTTTTAAAGTTGAAAATCAGGACGAATTCGTTTGGAAAGAAGAACATCAAAAGGCTTTCGAAAGCCTAAAGACATATTTATCAAGTCCATCAGTGTTGGTGTCACCAATCCAAGAACGACCAATGAAAATGTATGTACGCTGAAAAAGAATCAATAGCTGGAATGGTTGCGCAAGAAGACCAATTTGGTAAAAAAAGGGCGATTACTACTTGAGTAAACGGTTAACAAAATGTGAATGTAATTACTCTGTCATTGTAAAATTATGTCTTGCATTGTATTTCACATGTACAAAATTAAGAGTTTATTTACGGCCCGTAACCGTTTATTTGATTTTCAAGGTAAATTTGGTTAAGTATATGTTCTCTCGCCCTATTTTACACCAAAGGGTAGGCCTTTGGATGTTAGCATTATCAGAATTCGAAATACAATACATACCTCAAAAGGCAATCAAAAATTAGGCATTGGCTAATTTTCTGGCCGATCATCTATGCCTTGACATGCTTGAAGAAATTGAATTAGAAATCAATTCATTCGAAGTAAAACCTTGGGTATTGTATTTCGATGGGTCAAAAACCTTTAAAGGTGCAGGAATAGGAGTAGCATTGATAAATCATTTAGGGATTTGCTACAAGTTCGCATAGTGATTCCATTATAAGTCTATATGAAATCGCCCAAGAGTTGTTGGAAGAATTCGACCAAGTAGAGCTTCAATGCGTTAATAGGATATATAATGATGTGGCAAATGAGTTGGCCCAGATGGCCTCAGGGTACTCGAAGGTTTTAAATTGGAAGTCGACTTATGAGTATGGAACAATATTGCCCGTGGTCCAAAGAAGGGCGAGAACGATTGAAATTCATTGCATACAAGATGGAGATGCGATAGATTGGAGGGCACATATTAAAAGGTTCTTTAAAAAGCCTAATATAGGAAATAGTAAAAAAATGAAGTTGCGTTTGCTAAACTATACACTGATATATGAAGAGTTGTTTAAGAAATGCTCTGATGGTTTATTGCTAAAATGTATAAGTTTGCAAGAAGTCAGGACGATCATGGCTGAAGTACACGAAGGGATATGTGGAGCTCATTAACCTGGCGAAATGATGAGATGGTTAATTATTAAAAATGGATATTTTTGGCCAAAGATGGGAGAATCATGCGTTCAGTATACAAAGAGTTGTCTAGCATGCCAAAAGCATGGTCCAATACAAAGGGCGTCAGCACAAGAGATGACACCTATTATCAAACCTTGGCCGTTTAAGGGTTGGACGATAGACCTGATAGGGAAGATTTATCCCCCATCGTCCAAGCAACATACATTTGTTATAGTTGCAACTGATTATTTCACTAAGTGGGTAGAAGCGATATCTTTAAAGGAGATCATCCAAAAGAATGTCATAGAATTTATCCGTGATCATATTATTTATAGATTTGAAATTCCAAATTTTGATGGTAGATCACGGAACTTCTTTAAATGGAGATCAAGTGAATGAATTCTTGAGCGAGTTTGGAGTTAAATTAGTAAACTCCACACCATATTACGCTCAATTCAACGGACAAGCAGAATCTTCTAATAAGATTCTAAAAAATATCATAAGGAAAATGATAGATGAAAATGCCAGAAATTGGCACGAATGTCTTAACAAGGCCTTATGGGCTTATAGGACGTCGCCTCGGTCAAGTATCAAAATTACTCCTTTCCAACTTACTTATGGACAGAAGACCATTTTGCCTATGGAAATCAATGTACAATCGATCAGAGTGTGTTTGCAACATAAGTTAAGTGGTGATGAGTATACCAAATCACTAGTTCAAAACTTATTGGAGTTGGACGAATTAAAGTTGGACGTCCTAAATAGATTGCAAGTTCAAAAACGAAGGATGGCTAAGTTTTATAATAAAAAAGTTATAGCCAAGTCGTTCAGCCTGAGCGAATTGGTTTGGAAAACAATACTCCCTTTGGATAACAAAGATCCAAAGTATGGCAAGTGATCGCCCAATTAGGAAGGACCATATAAAGTAAATAGTGTGTTGTCTAATGAAGCCTATCATTTGGAAGATTTAGATGCCACCAAACACATGAGGTTCATTAATGGCAAATATTTGAAAAAATATGTTCATTCCTTATGAGAAAGTGAACAAATAAAAGCGTAATCAAATCACGTTGAACGATCGTAAATAAAAAAGAGCTAAAGCGAAATACGCTCAAATAAATTCCTTTGTTATCAAACGTTTATTACAAAGTTGCAAAATACAAAATACTAAATGCTCTATGAGTTACAATTGAGAGCAAACTAATCTCTAGGTCGATCGCCAAGTAAGAGGGTGAACTGGCCTTAATTGCTATCCTGATCGCACTGCTGCAAAGGCAAGTGGAGAGGTCAAGAAGCACTCTCAGCAAGCAGAATGGAAGAAGAAGCACCCTCACATCGCCTTTCTAAATGCATCGCCGCAATAACGGGCAAGGAGGCTGAGAAGTACTCCTCAGCAAGCAAGGTGGCTTGCACGCATCCTAAAAAATTGTCTTCCATCATCAAACTCCTTGTAAGGAACATGGAGACGATGGGAAGAACTTCTTTGGCCAAAGAATATTTCCTATATCTCCCATTCCAAAGGTGACATAAAAAAAGATGGCAAAATGGGCGGATCCAATGATCCATTTCCATGGAAGACGAAGGTTTTGGATCAATTGTCAAAATGCCAAACAATGGCAGTAAATTGGTTTTGAAAAATAGAATGGAAATGAAAATGATAAGTGTGGAATATAAGTGCATTTATAGGGGCGTGAAGGTGAAGAGACAGAATATGAATAGTCACATTCGTGCCTAGTAACTGGAATCAAATGGGTCGAAATCTTGGGAAAAGAGACAGAAATACTAAGAGAAAATGTACGTGAATCTTAGCATAAAGCAGTTAAATGCTTAGGGGGTTGACGATTAAAGATGACGTCAATAAATACATAAGAAGACAAATTAATCGTTCATTAATGATAATGGCTGTTGGTACGTTCAGAATTACCAATGGATATCAGTATGAGGTTACAAGGGGAAAGTTAATACGAAATTACAAAAAGAAAAGTTAAGGCATTATAGGTCTTAATTACAATTCGCCCCAAACTGAACGAATTCTCTCCCCAAGTCTCCCTCAATTCTCGCTCTGCCGAGAAGAAGTGATATCCAATTCAGCTACAAAATCATCATCAACTTCCAACTTCTTGTACTACTCGACCAAAGACTTGGTTCGCTCAATTCCTTGGGAGGCATTACGTTTTTTAGCATCCATTCTCGCCTTGCAGTCGTCCATCCTTGCTTGAAGCTCCTTCATTTGTGTAGTCAAACTGGTCATCAAAGAGTCTTCAATAATAATTTCGGAAGAGATTTCTTTCAATTCGTCCTCAACTTTGTTAATCTCCAGAAGCAAAGACTCTTTTTCAGATACAGCGCGAAGATATTGAGTACTCTTGGCCTTCAGTTCAACATTTTTGGCCAGTAAGGAGAGAATCTCGAAATGGACAACTTTCAACGTCGTTTTAAAATCAGCAGAAAGATTGAGCAACGGAAGTGTCAGTGCTTGCGCCAACTTCGCACTCAAATGCTCAAGCTTATCCTTATGTTTGGCAGCACTAGCCTAACCGATGTCCATATTCATAAAGGACACATACTCAAATATCGACTGGTTGAGAAATTTCATATCTTCCTTTGAAGAAGCAGAAGAACGACCGGTTGAAGCAGGGCGAGACGTCTTGACTTGCCCCCAGGAAGTGAACAAGTCCTGGATGGAACGCACAATCTTATTAGCATCCTGCAAAGAAAATTTCCAACATTGAAGGTTTTCACTACAATAAAAAAAGTTGGAGTAAAAGTGAAGCAAATATTACCTCATCAGCAATCTTGAGAGGTGGCATATCCCCAGCCAAATCTACCACCTGTGGCTCCACCACTTGTGAGGACCTCCCCTTGTTTGGGTGAGAAGACTTTGTCACAACGGGCAAATCCATGGGAGCATCTGCAGAACTCAAAAAGTAACAAATTAAAAATCAATAGCACAAGCAAAGGTAAAACATCAAAAAATGTATTACCTTCTGGTTCGACGTTTGGGGGGTTGACGCCCTGGGAAGAAGGTGGCTCATCCGTTGGTTGTGATGAGGATTCCGGGACTGAAGGTTTCTCTTTAAGCGTAGTCCCTTCATCGGCTGGTTTGGATGAAGCAGCCTCAGTAGAGGATGATGGAGCACGAGCTACCAACACTAAAGCCTTCAAAGGAGAGGCTGAACTTTTCTGAGAAATCCAAATAAACTATCAACACATAGAAAAGTTTCAAGTATAGAAATGTATGCTTGTGAGTAAACTAATTAAATTACATTTCTCCTGACGATCATCATCATCCTCCAAAATGGGAGATGCTGAGGTTGGCCCTTTGCGACTTGGGGCACTCTTAGTTGCAGTGGGCTTAGCAGGAAGAGAAGTAGATGGACGAATAGACTGTTTAGCATGAGCAGTGGAGGAAGGACTCCTAATGGACATAGGAGTGACCAAAACAGGAGAAGTGGAAGAAATGTTTGGCTGATCCAGTGAATGGAAACCACGATTGGCATCAATTGCAAACAATCTGTGCTTCACTGATGACCAGAGTTGTTCAAAAAGGGGTGAACGGCACGGCTAGGATTGAAGGGGACTAATGAAAAGTTACTCGTCAAAAGAATATTACGAGCATCTATAGCTTGTGCCTCTACCTTATTAATGGTGTGAAAGCGGTCTATCAAATTTTTTAAATAATAAGGAGGAACAGGCCAAATTTGGCCAAAACCAAGTTGGCGAGCAAAAAATTGGGGGGCATATATTTCAACCCTAACTTTGGCATTGGTTCCAGTTAAAATATCATGGAACAACTCCCTCCTAGTAAAAAACTGAACCCAAACGAGCAGAGAGGGGCTCGCACTGTCCAGGGTGGATGGATGTTGCACATAATCTGGAATTAAATGAGCAGGAAAGGGAAAGAAAGAAAGAATTGAATTTAAAGTATAAAAGAATGAAAAATGTCCCTTCTGGACATATTTACAGGACTCAATGGGTCAATGGCTAGTCCATAGCAGCTAGCAGAACGAAGGGACATAGATAGAGCACAAAGTGATGGAAAATAGGCTCTCAACCACAGTTGAGCGAACCAAAGAGGCCCACTGCCAGTGGGAGATGCACAATTCCTCAATTGAAATTGAAGAGAAGTCATGCCTCTATAGAGGGCAGCCAAAAAGAAGGAACACAAATTCAAAGGCCTACCATGCGCCAATTCGTGCGCTATGGGTAAATAGCTTATAGAAGGCTTCAAACTGGGCACACACAAAATATATTTACAAAGTCATATCTGAAGGAAGGCCACACGCTCAATGTGGGAAGGCTCAGCGCTTGAGTGATTATGGCAACTTTGCAAGCTTGAATAGCACTTGGTGAGTTTTTTGTTAAATTTTGGGGCAACACCAGAAATCAAAATATTAGGGAAAATGGTGTCACCCAAAGGTGGAATATTTATCAGAGCCCCAACATCCCTTAAAGTGATTGGCATGTGACCAAGAGGGAAAACAAAAGTATTATATTCAGAAGACCAAAAACTTAAAGCAATAAGAAAAAGTGCTGGGTCAAAAATTGGAGGTTGAAGAGAGATTTCTAATAAATCAGAAATCCTATCACGATCAAAAATTGCCTTGGTAGGACCATGGCCCACAAGGCGAGCATGCCATCTACGAAAAACAACATCAGATTTAGGCCAAGTGCGAATACCTTTTTCGCGAATAGGCCTCAACGGCAAAGAGTTCAAGAATGGAGGGCCTTGAGTACAAGAAAAAAGCTGGCTCACCACCACTTGTTCGACGGCTTCGGCGTTGGTGAATGAAGGACCCAGATAGAACTCATTAAGTTCGGCATTGGTTAGTGCAAGAAAGTTCGAATTTACATATGGCCGAGTGAGGATTTATGGAAATCATTGAAGCTAAAAGAGTCGTCAGATTGGGTTTGTGGATCAGCCATTGGGAACGAAATACAGTTTTGTTAAGGTTTGCTCGAGAAACGTAGCAGAGAAGTAAGAAGATGAACAGTGGTATGGCGAGAAAGAAGCGCAAAATAATGATATGTGAGTTGGTGGTACAACGAAATGGCGTGTCTTTGGGGTTTATAAGGGTTTGTAGCGTCGCACTTTTTCAGGCTATGGAAGAAAATAATGATTGAAATTCTTGAAAATTTCAAATGTTGTTGGGAAAAACAAAATAAATATACGACAAAGATTAATAATTGATATTAATTCTGCCATATTGGGGGGTAATTGTTGACAAACTAAAAGTGCAGCCCAAATCGAATAGCCCAAAGAATGAAGCCCAACTGGACAATTTAGGATAAAGACCCAAATAGGGTTATTAATGAATACAGTGGAAGCTCACGAACGCGGTAATACTATCGCCCAAACTTGCAAGACGCCCAAGATCTGAGCGAATGAAGTGCCTTGCAGTCGCCCAGAGTTATGACACCGTTCTCGCCCAAACCTTCGAATCGCCCAAAATCTTAGCAAACATAAGATGTTATGGTTATCCAAAAGTGCAGTTATCGAAGCAGTTATTGAGTAATCTTATCACGTTCCACGATTCAAGGAGTTCAGTTGAAGACGGTTGAACGACAAAGATTAGTGGCAGCAGTTAGAGACGGCAGTTCCACGATAAGTTGGCCACCATAAAAAAAGTGGACAGTTATAAAGCAATTAAGCAGTTTCTAAGCGGTTGATTACGAAGAGATCATCAAGGGAATATAAAAGGAAGAAAAGATATAGAGCAAAGGACCCCAAGTCAAACACACTTAAACAGAGGATATGTAATTTCAATTTTTTATTTTAGATTTAAACATTTCTTTTCAGTACTCGTGTGCTTGCGCTCCTTGAAGACATTCTATTTAGTTTCAATTGTAAAGTCATAGAAATAAAACACTCCATCAAATGATATCAATGCTAACGGGTGTGGATTCGGGTTCGTATCTGGGTCGAGTTCTGATTCAAGTGTCAGCTCATCTGGGTCGTCTGATGATCATCCTCATACTGTTGATCATGGTGCTTTCAGGTTCGTTTCGTTTTTACTAAAATCGAAGTTTGCGAATTTCCCCCCTTTTTCCTTATGTGGGTTTGGTTTTGATTGATTATATGCTGCTTTGTTTTTAATTTTCGAATTTACTGATCAAATTGAATCTTTGATTTACTCATTTATCCTGGAAAAAGGGGCTTTTATCCTGGAAAGACTTTTCAATGGATTATATCTTGAAATTGCAGTTGATTTGAATAGGGGGAAATGGAACTTTGATATGATGATTTTGCCGAGTGGTCCTTTTCCTTCCTTTATCTGCCCTTAGTTTAACCTTTGTATGCTCTGGTTTGAATGTTGAACTGCTTGAAGGTGAAACTTGATCGAATGATGTAACGGTGGTTTAGTCTGTAGCAGCAGATCACATTAAGAAACAAAAAATAGTTCGAAACGTATTTGTTGAAACTGTATAGTACTATTCAATCCTCATTCCTCCCTACCAAGCATTTCATTAAGGTATAAATAAAACATATTCTTATCTCGTATTGGATTATGCAGAACCTTACAAGAAATTACTAGCATCAGTATAAGTTGTGCTTCTGCTTCGTCTATGCAATTTGGGAACTCATTTGTAATGGCAGAACAAATGTAGATAACAAATTAAGTCCAGTTCAGCGAAGCCCTGGTCGAGGATCAAGGCAGGGGACTACCATCATAACATCTCCTCGGCACCCAAGATATAGTGGTATTAGTTCAGATTCTCCAACTGGGAGATTGGGAGATGGAAAGAGTGAATTTCATAGGCCGCCTCTTCCGCCTGGTTCGCCTTCCAGCCCTTCTGCTCTGCTGTCCCCTAGAAGTCCTAGAGTGAAGGAAAGCTCAAATAATAACTTAATAAAGTGGAGGAAAGGGAGGCTTCTAGGAAGAGGCTCTTTTGGTCATGTTTATCTTGGATTCAGCAGGTATTAAGACTTCACGAAAATTTATATGATATTAAAATCTTTTGTAATAATGAAAATTCATATATATATATATATATATATATATATATATATATTGTTAAAGATTGAGCCTTATCTCTACTTCCTTTTGACAATAATAATAATGGATAAAGAAATCAGAAAACGAGCAAAGAAATCACAAATTTATACTGGGGTAGGCTCCAATATTATATTGTTAAAGATTGAGCCCTATCCCTACTTCCTTTTGACAATAATAATAATGGATAAAGAAATCAGAAAACGAGCAAAGAACCCACAAATTTATACTGGGTAGGCTCAATATTAGGTCTACATCCACTTGCTTTTGCAGGTTTTCACTATAATGGAAAAGAAGAATACTAGTTTTTTTGTCTTACCTCTCTGACACAAAATGACCCCATACTTATCTTTTATGTAGTAGGGATGTTGGGGAGGTCAAATACACGTATGAATGTCCAATATACCCCTGAAACAGAAAATGCAGTCAAGGGGATAAGTAGGGTTGGCAGCGGTTCGGTTATGGGTCGGTTCGGCCAAAATCATAACCGCACCATCAAATTTTTGACCATACCATAACCGCACCATAACCACGTAAATCGGTTCGGTTTTTATCTCGGTTCAGCACGGTTCGATTTAGTTAATAACCACGAAAATAAATTATTTTTTATAGGTTCATCCGTCAAATTGATATAAAACAATTTATGAAAAAAGTCAATGAAAACAAAAACACAATGTTCCAAATGAAAATGCAAACATTATCAAACAATATTCCAAACATAAATGCAAACATTATCCTAATTTTCAATTGTAAAATACAAGTTTAACAAACAATATTATAAATATAATAATACTAAACTTTTCCTTCATTCTTAGTTGTTGTGCATCGAATTTACTTGATGCATTCTTCCCTACAAGTTTTATTAGCTTAGATCAGCATTCAAAGTTAATTCCTATTCATCCTTGACAATATTGGCACGTCTAGAAAAACATCGAACTCTGATTTTACATGATCAACAGTAATAGAATGACTAACAAATGTAACAAATTTTCGGAGGCGAATACGATTTGGACTGTAGAGGCAATGGAGC